GGAGCTGGGAAGGGAATGGAGAGTTCCTGAGGGAGCTGGGAAGGGAATGGAGAGTTCCTGAGGGAGCTGGGAAGGGAATGGAGAGTTCCTGAGGGAGCTGGGAAGGGCTGGAGAGTTCCTGAGGAGCTGGGAAGGGAATGGAGAGTTCCTGAGGGAGCTGGGAAGGGAATGGAGAGTTCCTGAGGGAGCTGAGGGGGCTCAGCCTGGAGCAAAGGAGGCTCAGGGGGACCTTGTGGCTCTGCACAGCTCCTGCCAGGAGGGGACAGCCGGGGGGGTCGGGCTGGGAACAGGGACAGGAGGAGAGGAATTTCAGGATCACTGAGGCTGGAAAATCCCTCCAAGGTCACCGAGACCAAGCTGTGCCCAATCCCCCCTTGTCCCCAGCCCAAAGCTCTGAGTGCCTTCCCTGGGCATCTCAGGGGATGGGGTCTCCACCGCCTCCCTGGGCAGTCCTTTCCAATGCCCATTACACTGCGTTCCATGAAGAAATATCTGAGGAAATGGCCTCAGGTTGTGACAGGGGAGGTTTTTATTGGATGTTGGGGAAAACTCATTCACAGTAAGGGCTGTACAGCGTGGTCACAGCTGCAGTGTTGAAAACCCCATCGCTGGAGGGATTTAAAAGCCTTGTAGATGTGGCACATGGGGACATGGCTCAGTTGTGGCCTTGGCAGTGTCAGGGCGCATCGGACTCCTTTGTCTTAGTGGGCTTTTCCCACATAAATATTCCATGACAACAGGAGTCACGGCAGCGCTGTCCCACCTGTGCCTTGTCCTTGTCCCTGCCATGGGTACAGTGTGATGGAGCACAGCCTGCACTGGATCCCACAGCACGGCCAGGGAGCGTGGCCCTGCAGCCTGTTTGTCCCCTGTCCCTGGCCGGGTGGCCGGAGCAGTGGCCAGTCTGGCAGTCTGTTTGTCCCTTGTCCCTCGGCTGGGTGGCCAGAGCATTGGCCAGTTTGGCAGTCTGTTTGTCCCCTGTCCCTCGGCTGGGTGGCCGCAGCAGTGGCCAGTTTGGCAGTCTGTTTGTCCCCTGTCCCTCGGCTGGGTGGCCACAGCAGTGGCCAGTCTGGCAGCCTGTTTGTCCCTTGTCCCTGGCCAGGTGGCCAGAGCAGTGGCCGGAGCAGTGGCCAGCCCTGCGGCCACGCTGTGGGTCAGCGGCCAGTCCTGCGGCCGTGCTGCAGCCGCGGGCCCGGGCATGGAAGTGGCAGCTGCCGCCTTGTCACCGGTGCCACGAGCCGACAGTGACATCTAGTGACACCAAGTGACACCAAGTGACACCAAGTGACACCAAGTCGCTCCCCACAGCCCCGCGTGGGGAATCGCCCCCAGCTCCCAGCCCTGCTCCCCGCCTGCCAGCGGCGAGCGGGGTGAGCGCAGCGCCGTGAATCAATAAATACAACCAAACACTTTGGGCTTTAAGGCTTTGCAGAGCCCCAGGCAGGAGGTGGCGAGGGCGGATGGCCACAGCAGCGAGCTTGGACGGCTTTTTTGGGGGAAGTTGGGGCAGTTTTGGGTGCACAGGGCAGTGGGCGATGCTGCCTCTCTCCCCGAGGGGAGACTCGAGTGAGGGGGAACTTGTACCCTGCCTGGCACCATTAAATATCAATAACCGACCGGGGACAGGCAGCAAACTTCTGTCATTTGGGGTGGCAGCGGCAGGGCCACGGCCCGGTTTTGGGGTGGTGTGGTGGTTTTGGCTGTGTTTTGGTGCTGTTTTGGGGTGTTTTGACACTGTTTTAGGGTGTTTTAGCGCTGTTTTGTCATTGTTTTAGGCTGTTCTGGAGCTGTTTTGGGGTGTTTTAGCGCTGTTTTGGGGCGGTTTGGCGCTGTTTTGGGGTGTTTCAACGCTGTTTTGACGCTGTTTTAGGGTGTTTTCTCTCTGTTTTCTCTCTGTTTCGGGCCGCTCCGGCGCTGTTTTGGGGTGTTTTCGCTCTGTTTTGGCGCTGTTTTGTGGTGTTTTAGGGTGTTTTCTCTCTGTTTTCTCTGTCTCGGGCCGCTCCAG